AACATTTGATACGCGTGTGTACAGTAACAAACATTTAATTCTTGAACGTTTCAGAATATACACATTCCATCTTCAGCAAGTTATATTGAAGAGGGTAAATTATTAGGTACAAAAATTTACAAAGTTCAAAGATTTTGGGCTAACTCTCACCAACATATTCCTTTGTTACTATGAACATTCTTGATTAGATACCTGTCCTGCTGAATATAAACCAGCTCTATATAGAAGGTATGCTGATGATATGTTTATATTTTTACTCTTTTGAGCTCTAAGCACAGCAAAAATTTTGTGGATTATTTAAATTATAAGCATCCTGACATTAATTTTATTTGTGAAACTGAAACAAATGGTAAATTGCCTTTTCTTGATATTGAAATCAGTAGACTAGATAACCATTTCATAACATCTGTTTATCGTAAAAAACATATACAGGCTTACATACTCGATTCAACAGTGTTATTCTGAATTCCTTTAAATGTAACGTTACGATCAGTCTTCTCAATAGAGCTTACATACTCGATTCGACAATTTTATTCAAAATTCTTTTAAATCTAACCTTATACTCAGTCATCTCAGTAGAGCATATAACATCTGTTCTAACTACCACTCCCTCTTCATACCAAATTCACCACCTTACAGAACATTCTAATAAACAATGGCTATCCCCTACATTTTATTCTAGTCCTAACACAAAGTTCCTTTCTCACAAAGTTGAACCTCAAGAAACCATACAATTAAGACTGATTGTTTCTTTTTTTGGGAAAGCAAAGTTTCATAGTGAAGTGACAAATTTAAAGAATAATTAAAACATTTTATCCACAAGTTCAACTACAAATGATATTTAAATAACCTTTCAAAATACAAAATCTATTCAGGTCTAAAGACCTATTATCTACCCCTATGTATTCCAGGATCGTGTATAAATAGTTAAGTACACATGTGGTTGCTCTAATGCCACTTACATTGGCAAAACCATATAACAACTACACCTGTGAGCCTGCAAACATATGAGAGTATAAAAGTGTACTGATAAAAAACTATCAAATCCACCAGACTCTATAATCCACACACATAGTGAAAACAACATTCATGGCATCTTGATTACGAATTTCAAAGTTGTCTCATCTGGATCATCCAATATTGAGCTTTTAAAAAAAAGTTTATCTATTATAAATGAGCTCCCAACTTTAAATAATAACACAGCTTCCCAGCAATTAAGTCTGTTCTGAATAACTTGTATTATATTGTTACAATTGTTGCATTATCCTATTATTTCTTGTTTATTTGTTTGTCTTTTAATTTACTTCATCCTTTCATAGGAGTATTTTAATTACTTCTTATAAAATGTTTGAACTTTGTAAATGTTGGTACCTAATATTCTACTCTGTTCAATATAGCTTGCTTAAGATGGAATATGTACATTTAGAAACGTTTGTGACTGTACACATATGTGTCAAATGTTCATTTTTGCTGCCATTCCCATCTAAAGCCATATAAATTTGAAAGAACTAACTAAACTTGGAATTTTTTGTTATTATTATTATTATTACACGTTGAGGCACATGTCCTACATCCTGGGGCATAAGGATTGAATGTAGGGCTTTAACATATAAATTAAGTAAATAATTTGTATTTATATGCATACTTTATTTTACAACTAACTTTATTTCATGCCTATTCTATTCATACCTGCTTTATTCCACATTACAGAAATGGTGTTACTTTACTTTCTTTTCTTTTACTTTGTTACTTTTACTTATCCTTCTCTACAGCCTCAGTTGTTTGTTGACACCCTGAGTGCTTCTTGATAGACCACATTAGAAGTTCTTCCTCCTTTCTGGGCCAAAATAGAGATTTTTTTGGGAAATCTACTCTTGAACACCCAATAGAATTGACCACATGAAAAGAAAAGGGTTTTCAGATCTAGCCCTGCCACTTTAAGGGTCTGATCTTGTACTTCGGTTGCCATTTTTTTTGGCAAAAATGTGAATGTTTGCTCTTTTTAAATGAAAAAAGAAAATAAAAAAAAATAAAGAAAAAACTCAAAATAAAAAATTTTAGGAATATAAATTGGCCCAAAACTGCAGAGCAATTTAGCTATACCAACGTATTTTTGCTGTGGACATGGCCCAGGGAGGGTGGGTCAGGGTAATAACCACCCTATGACATGTTTCTTTGTCCAATGTATCATCTTACCAAGTTGGTTGAGATTGGTCCAAAGACCATGGAGTAGTTCATGGACAAACAAACAAACACATTTTATATACACGGTGAATTTTAACTTTTTTTTTATATTCATTAGCATATTTACATTTGTTATCTTCTTTTTATGTTTTTTTTTTTTTTGCCTACTGAAGCAATTATGTAACCTTATAAAAATACAAGAACTTTGCATGATCAACAATAACTTACAACTGAATGCCACTGTGCAGCTCCAACTCTTTAGGCCTATGTGCTCACTAACCTTAACTATCTTTATCTGGCTTCTTGTAAAAAAATGTTTGTGTAGTTTCAATGGAAATAATAAAACATGAACCCAGTATTAGCAATGAAGAGAATGTATGGCCAGAAGCTATAAAAAATCCATGTGCCTTTAATTCCTAAAAATGATGTGTTAAACCTACAAGTGTGGCATTGCCAGACTGCTTCAAAACTTGTAAAAGTAAAAACATGCCATAAGAAATAATTGACAAGTTGCTTACATCATTTTGAAATTTAGTATCACCCCTTTTCAATGGTTTTTAGCTAGAGGGCATATCTATTTTTAAACCGAGATAAACTCCTATTTGTTAAGATCCTCTAAAGGAAGATTCTGCATAAAAGTTCCCCCAAACATACCAATTTCAGCTTATACTGCCTCTAGAAACTTGACAAATACACTATGTTCTTTATAATTCTACATAGTTCATTAGTAGACTCAAAAATAAAGCATAAGATATTTTTTAATATTTTTTCTATAAATTTAATTAGATAATTATTCTGTAATGCTTTAACATTGTTTCTAGACTAATTTTTGGCAAAAAATTATTGAAGGGTATTAGAATTATATATTCGAAGTACATTTTTAATGCAGATACACAGTTCTGTAATCAGAGTGATTTTCTGTAACATTTACCTGAAATGCATCAACTTAGAAGAAACTGAAAAGTTATCTCCAAGTAACAGAACCTTTCTTTTGGTCTCACAGAAACTTTAGAGTCAATTAGTTCTGTACAGAAAATCACTTATGTTAATATAAAGATAAGAAGCCCATCTTTAACACTAAATATAAAACTTTTTCTTATACAGAGAGTTAACCACACTTTATAAGAATAATATGCATAAATTAATGCTATAGCAATTTGCCAAAGGTGTGCATTGTGATGCTATGGGCAACATGCTTAGCACTTATGTATCTGGCTGATGACAAACTCTCTCAAGACACATTGGTGAGAGAAAGACAGACTGCAAAAAAGTGCACAGAAAGTACCTTGAACATAAGGTATAAAGGTTTGTTACAACACTAGATGAGACTTGGCCATACTTGAAAAATATGAGAAGTATGTTATAAACCACAAGGTGATGAAAACTTTCTAACACGGTACATAAAATTAAAAGAAAGTTTCTATTTAGTTTTTACAACTGTTTCCAGCAGGTTTCTCATATAATTGGAAATGTAAACTTTAAAAAGTGAACAGGAAAAACAGGAAGTGTTATGGTCAGCTACATCAAGTCACACATCCAAATCCACACCAGCTTTTCTGTGAATCATGGTGAATGAAACTCCCATTCTTCAACATATCTGTGAAGTCACATGTACTCGTGTAAGTTTGTTTAGAAGCCAAGGTCCATCTGCAAAGGAGGGCCTGGGGAAAGTCTGTTATAATTTTAGAAATGATATTGAGAATTTGTTACTAAGAAAATCACATTGTTGAACAACAGCATAAAATTGTTTGTTTGTTTTGAATTTCACGCAAAGTTACATGAGGGCTATCTGCGCTAGCCGTCCCTAATTTAGCAGTGTAAGACTAGAGGGAAGGCAGCTAGTCATCACCACCCACTGCCAACTCATGAGCTACTACTCTTTTACCAATGAATAGTGGGATTGACCGTCACATTATAATGCCCCCACGGCTGAAAGAGCGAGTATGTTGGGTGGGACTGGGATTCGAACCCGCGACCCGCAGATTGCGAGTCAAGCTCCCTAACCACCTGGCCATGCCGGGCCAGCATAAAATTGATAGAGGAAACAATTCTAAGGGTAACAAGAGATACGAGTCATCATCATTATAAAGGGCAATTACAACTCTGTGCTATGACTGAAGATTGCTTGCTTCCAGTAGCATTCCACCTATTACAAAGTTACTGATGGCATACTCAAAGGTTCACCACTTTCTCCAACTGTAGTAGCTCAATGATATATGAAACACTTGGAGCAAATAATCATTCAGTCATTACTTACTCCACTGTATCTTTGGCTAAGATGTGTATATGGTGTGGCCAAAACAGGCTGGGAAAGTTTCATTATCACCTTACCAGTTCAGTACAATTTACAAAAGAACCAGAAAATGAATACTCTTCCACATTTCTTTGGATGTTGCTCTGTCATTATTTCAAGCAAAGTAGTTTATTGTGAACCAATACATACTGATGGGTTTTACTATTTCCAATCCTGTTTCTATAAAAACATGGGCACTTATACTTCAGTTTACAAGTTTCTCATTACCGTTGCAGAGGATCAAGTGACAAGCTTTGAATCTATCTTTGATAAAAATGGATTCCCATAATCACTAGTCTCATCAGTAATGAGGCAAGTACAACTGATACTAGAAAACAAAAGATAACACAAAGAAGCAACAAATTCTGATGATATCTTACACACCAAGTGAAAAATTTAAGACAAATCATAAAAACGTTTGAAATAAAATAGCTAAAAAATAAAGTCCACTATGAAGACAAACCTTATTAAATTCAAGGCATAAAACAAGAATTCCAAGATGCAAAATGTACTCTACAGTGTATCATATATATGCAGTAACCTCAGTATAGGTGAAATCCAATGACCAGTTGAAGTACAAATCAAAGAAGATGAAAAAGATATCAGACTAATTATAACTAAGAAAATCAGCTAAAGCAGTTTCAAGCTAGGAACATGCCCATCAAATTCTATGGGAAAAAAAATTGCACAGAAGAAAAATGGGCACTAAGCAGAAATAGTGATTAAAGCAGATTTCTGGCCAAATCACATATCTCAGACCACAAAAACAAAGTGTGTGTGTTTGTGTGAATATATATATATATCAAATCTACAACAATAATTATCTTCAAAGTCCACTGCTGGAAAAAAAAGTATCATTACAAAGGCTTCTCTGCTGTTGAATATCTGTATTATATGTATTACATTGTATTTAAACCAAACCACATTGGCAAATGAGATTATATGTATTGCAAACATGTTATTCAAGAGCATATATTGTACTATATTTTAAAATATTGTTCTTTTATATATCAATTATTCCGAGGAAAGCTCCAAGAAAGGAGTTGCAAACTTTCTCAATTAAATAATTTAACATATTAAATTCTAAGGGTTTACCCAATAATCTATATTTAAGATGGTATCATTCAACAATTCCAGATGCTAGACATCTTTTCCTTTTTCAAGGTACAGCTAACAAACCATATGACTGATGAAAGGATTATATTAGCAGCATAAAAAATGACTGACAAACTTCCTTACTATCATAAAAATGTAGAGAAATGTGCAGCTACAAGCAGAAAGAAGGTTTAAGGTTCCATAAATAAAAATACAAAATGAATAGATCTTTTTTTTAAATTCCCAACTTTGTTCCTGATAACAAAACAAATGGATTTAACAAAATAAAAATTAAATTTATAGCTCAATACTGATGATAATATTATCATGAAAAATTTGGCAAGATCATGAATATATGGTCTATAAACTGTATTTACATTTATAATACGAATAACATAAATTTTTCTGTCTTGAAAATCTGTTAAAACACAAAGAAGACAGATACATTATTAAAATACTGATGATTTGTTCACTCTCACAATAATACTCTAAAATAATTTTAGTGATCTTAAATTGATGCAAGACTTACTTGAACAGTTTCTTTGTCTTTTGCAAAGATGAATTCTCCTCCGTCAAAGTCATCATTTAAATATACAATGGCACTGAACAAGTAACAATTATCTCAAATCAAATTATTACTCTTTATAACAAACACATTTTGCTAAGATACAAATGCTTACTAAGTAATTGATTATTAATCAATGTCTTCATGTTTTATAAGTATGAATAAAAACCCTATAACCCAAGTACTTTAGGGGGCAAACTGAAGAAGAAAGGTCCACCTTTGGAAAGCACTCGGGTTATAGGGTTTTTATTCATTTCTGTTAAGGCTTCTTGAACCTACATGTCTTTCTAACATCATGAATGTCTTATAAGTATAAAGGACTACAATATAAACTAGGTGATAAAGAATTAAAACTCACAATCAGTGTTCTAAAATCAGGTTACAGAACATCATAATATATGAATAAAAAAGTACAGAAGGTTGAGTATGTTATATTAAAATGATTGTGGATATGCAAGTCAACAAGTCATATGACAACCACAGCTGATATAAAGGTGTGGTGGAACATAATCTATCAGAACCACGTTCTGACACTGATTGGCATTTTTTATGTTCTGTGGTTACTTTTGATTTGTAGACAGCTCTTTCTGCCGTAAGATATCCATACGCTCAAAAGATGTGTTCAGATTGGAGATTTTGAATTTCCAAAATGGGGATATTCCTTGTACTTAAAAGGCTTTGGAAAACAAAGGAATATGGATCACCTCGGGCACTTGAAATATCCTGAAAGGGACCTGCAACAAGTCGTACCTGAGTTATGGTAAGCAAAGTGTGACATATTATAACAAGCAAGAATACATGGGCACAAAGGTCAGTGATAAAAACCATCCAAATGTCCTAGGCAACAGTATACAATATAATCAAGAAGGATCTCCATTTGGACATAAATTACTTATATACAAGTTGCTTCTGTCACATATCAGTTTAATCAGACATCACATACCTCAAGTAGCTGAAGAATGAAATGGCTAATCATGTTATTCCATATAAAGATATACCTGTGAAGTCACCAGGTGTCAAACCTATCGATTTTTGTTGACTGAACTATTAAAATTGGCACTGAAAAAACCATCATCTTCACACTCTAAATGGTTTATGGAAAGGAAGAAGGAAGGAAGGGTGTGCTTTGGACATAACAATCTAGTCTTACAATGAAGCATCTTGCAATGGGGACTACACTGGGGGGTTATTCTCAAGTTGTAATCAGAAGATAGAGCATGACCAGACGAGGTGACATGAGTAATGACATGATGAGGCTCGAAATTCCAAAATCATTATAATATAATCTTCTCAACCTCTGTATATCTGAAAAAATTCTAACATGTTATAATTTTGTAATAAAAATGTCATAATAATAGATACAGGAAAGTAACTACATGAGGTAACCAGGCTTTTTTGAACGAATTTACTATTAGTATAAAATTTCCCAAATAAGCCTCACCAATAATGTTATCTTAAGAAAACTTTATAGAAAGATTCAAGAATAGCTGAATAAAATAATCAAAATTTCCCATTTTCTAAAAACTACTTTTAATAGAATGATGAAGACAGCCAATGGCAATATTATTAACCTGTAGTCTCTCCAGGTATAGGCAGGCCTTTCTTTAAGACAACGTCCATCAGTCAATAAAACACAATTATCAGCATGAACTGGATGACTTAAGTCCTTCCGCTTCTCAGGAGAATCTGCCAAATAACAATGCACTTAATTATCTCATGAGTTTTGTATACTGATTTATTGTACATCTTTAATATTCATAATAAATGAAGTTAAGTAACAATGCAATTATTAAAACATGTGAACACTAAAAGAAACACAAACATAATATAGGAGATATACCAAATACATTGAAATTAAACTTAATAACCTAAAGGTAGATTTACCATAATCTGATGTAGATGACAATTTTTTAAGAGATGATAAAAGTTATTAAGGTAGGGGTGTTATTATTAATTTTTAATAATACGCATATCATAAATCTCAAATGATAAAAACATACATAAAGATGTGAATTTTTTATTATTAACTCTTTCGGCACAGGCTCGGTCATTGGGACCGACCTCATAACCAAAATGTGCTTGTTATAGTTTTCATGCTATAACTTTTAAATTAGTAAACAAATGTTAACGAAATTTGGCAGATTAGCAGTAAATATTACAATGCTTTTATACACAAAATATCAAGTTTTTATTAACTCTTAAGGTTTATAATGCAATGTTATTCTGATGCCTTTTTTCATTTTCACATGTTGCCTATCCAACATGCAAATTAATTTTCATTTTAAGATTTAAAATACTTTTGTGAATCAGAAAATTTTCAAATTTCACATGCAAAATCTTTATAATGTCCAGATAGTTATCAAATGTTTCTTAAGAAAAAAACTTTATATTTTATCTGTTATTTTCAGTAACAAATTTCTCTAAGGGTTTGGTCGATTTGACTGATCTTGTAACCACTTTAAAAAATTAGGAAATAAATATAAATTATGCCTCTTTAATTCTAGAATGACTATAAATTATAACACAAAAACATAAATGTT